CAAATTTTAGGGGTCCCAGGAGAAGAAGAGAGAAAGAAAGGGACTGAGAAAATATTTGAAGAGATTATGGTTGAAAACTTCCCTAATATGGGAAAGGAAATAGTCAAATCCAGGAAGTACAGAGAGTCCCATACAGGATAAACCCAAGGAGAACCATGCCAAGACACATATTAATCAAACTATCAGGGCTTCTCTGGTGGTGCAGTGGTTGAGAGTCCGCCTGCCGATGCAGGGGATGTGGGTTCGTGCCCCGGTCTGGGAGGATCCCTCATGCCACGGAGGGGCTGGGCCCATGAGCCATGGCCGCTGAGCCTGTGTGTCTGGAGCCTGTGCTCTGCAACGGGAGAGGTCACAGCAGTGAGAGGCCCGCATGCCGCAAAAAAAAAAAAAAAAAAAAAAAAAATTAAAATTAAATACAAAGGTAAAATATTAAAAGCAGGAAGGCAAAAACAACAAATAACACACAAGGGAATCCCCATAAGGTTAACAGCTGATCTTTCAGCAGAAACTCTGCAAGCCAGAAGGGAGTGACAGGACATACTTAAAGTGATTAAGGAGAAAAACCTACAACCAACATTACTCTACCCAGGAAGGATCTCATTCAGATTTGACGGAGAAATTAAAAGCTTTACAGAAAGCATACACTAAGAGAATTCAGCACCACCAAACCAGATTTACAACAAATACTAAAGGAACTTCTCTAGGCAGGAAACACAAGAAAATGAGAAGACCTACAATAACAAACCCAAAACAATTACGTAAATGGTAATAGGAACATACATACCAATGATTACCTTAAATATGAATGGTTTAAATGCTCCAGCCAAAAGACATGGACTGGCTGAATGCTTAAAAAACAAGATCCATATATATGCTGTCTACAAGAGACCCACTTCAGACCTAGGGACACATACAGACTGAAAGTGAGGGGATGGAAAAAGATATTCCATGCAAATGGAAATCAAAAGAAAGCTGGAGAAGCAATTCTCATACCAGACAAAATAAACTTTAAAACAAAGACTATTACAAGAGACAAAGAAGGACAGTACATAATGATCAAGGGATCAATCCAAGAAGAAGATATAACAACTGTAAATATTTATGCACCCAGCACAGGAGCAGCACAATTCATAAGGCAAATACTAACAGCCATAAAAGGGGAAATCGACTGTAACACAGTCATAGTAGGGGACTTTAACTCTCCACTTTCACCAATGGACAGATCATCCAAAATGAAAATAAATAAGGAAACACAAGCTTTAAATGATACATTAAACAAGATGGACTAAATTGATATTTATAGGACACTCCATCCAAAAGCAACAGAATACACATTCTTTTTATGTGCTCATGGAACATTCTCCAGGATAGATCATATCTTGGGTCACAAATCAAGCCTTGGTAAATTTAAGGAAATTGAAATCGTATCAAGTATGTTTTCTGACCACAACGCTATGAGACTAAGTATCAATTACAGGAAAAAATCTGTGAAAATACAAACACATGGAGGCTAAACAATACACTACTTAATAGCCAAGAGATCACTGAAGAAATTAAAGAGGAAATCAAAAAATACCTAGAAACAAATGACAATGAAAACACAGCGACCCAAAACCTTTGGGATGCAGCAAAAGCAGTTTTAAGAGGGAAGTTTATAGCAATACAATCGTACCTCAAGAAACAAGAACTCAAGTAAACAACCTTACCTTACACCTAAAGCAATTAGAGAAAGAAGAACAAAAAAACCACAAAGTTAGCAGAAGTAAAGGAATCATAAAGATCAGATCAGAAATAAATGAAAAAGAAATGAAGGAAACCATAGCAAAGATCAATAAAACTAAAAGCTGGTTCTTTGAGAAGATAGACAAAATTCATAAGCCATTAGCCAGAGTCATCAAGAAAAAAAGGGAGAAGGCTCAAATCAATAGAATTAGAAATAAAAAAGGAGAAGGAACAACTGACTGCAGAAACACAAAAGATCATGAGAGATTACTACAAGCAACTATATGTCAATCAAATGGACAGCCTGGAAGAAAAGGACAAATTCTTAGAAATGCACAGTGTGCTGAGACTGAACCAGGAGAAATAGAAGATATGAACAGACCAATCAGAAGCACTGAAATTGAAACTGTTATTAAAAATCTTCCAACAAACAAAAGCCCGGAACCAGATGGCTTCACAGGCGAATCTATCAAACATTTAGAGAAGAGCTAACACCTATCCTTCTCAAACTCTTCCAAAATAGAGCAGAGGGAGGTACACTTCCAAACTCATTCTACGAGATCACCATCACCGTGATACCAAAACCACACAAAGATGTCTCAAAGAAAGAAAACTACAGGCCAATATCACTGATGAACATAGATGCAAAAATCCTCAACAAAATAGAATCCAGCAGCACATTAAAAGGATCATACACCATGATCAAGTGGGGTTTATCCCAGGAATGCAAGGATTCTTCAGTATACGCAAATTAATCATTGTGATATGCCATATTAACAAATTGAAGGAGAAAAACCATATGATCATCTCAATAGATGCAGAGAAAGCTTTCGACAAAATTCAACACCCATGTATGATAAAAACCCTCCAGAAAGTAGGCATAGAGAGAACTTACTTCAACATAATAAAGGCCATATATGACAAATACACAGCCAACATCATCCTCAATGGTGAAAAATTGAAACCCTTTCCATTAAGATCAGGAACAAGACAAGGTTGCCCACTCTCACCACTCTTACTCAACATAGTTTTGGAACTTTTAGCCACAGCAATCAGAGAAGAAAAAGAAATAAATGGAATCCAAATTGGAAAAGAAGAAGTAAAGCTGTCACTGTTTGCAGATGACATGATATTATACATAGAGAATCCTAAAGATGCTACCAGAAAACTACTAGAGCTAATCAATGAATTTGGTAAAGTAGCAGGATACAAAATTAATGCATAGAAATCTCTTGCATTCCTATACACTAATGACGAAAAATCTGAAAGTGAAATTAAGAAAACACTCCCATTTTACCATTGCAACAAAAAGAATAAAATATCTAGGAATAAACCTACCTAAGGAGACAGAAGATCTGTATGCAGAAAATTATAAGACACTGATGAAAGAAATGGAAGGTGATACACCCAGATGGAGAGATATACCATGTTCTTGGATTGGAAGAATCAATATTGTGAAAATGACTATACTACCCAAAGCAATCTACAAATTCAATGGAATCCCTATCAAATTACCAATGGCATTTTTTACGGAACTAGAACAAAAAATCTTAAAATTTGTTTGGAGACACAAAAGACCCCAAATAGCCAAAGCGGTCTTTAGGGAAGAATACGGAGCGGGAGGAATCAGGCTCTCTGACTTCACACTATACTACAAAGCTACAGTAATCAAGACAATATGGTACTGGCACAAAAACAGAAATATAGATCAATGGAACAGGATAGAAAGCCCAGAGATAAACTCACATATCTATGGTCAACTAATCTATGACAAAGGAGGCAAGGGTATACAATGGAGAAAAGATAGTCTCTTTAATTAGTGGTGCTGGGAAACCTGGACAGCTACATGTAAAAGAATGAAATTAGAACATTCCCTAACACCATACACAAAAATAAATTCAAAATGGATTAGAGACCTTAACGTAAGACCGGACACTACAAACCTCTTAGAGGAAAACATAGGAAGAACAGTCTTTGACATAAATCACAGCAAGATCTTTTTTTATCCACCTCCTAGAGTAATGGAAATAAAAACAAAAATAAACAAATGGGACCTAATGAAACTTCAAAGCTTTTGCACAGCAAAGGAAACTACAAACAAGACGAAAAGACAACTCTTAGAATGGGAGAAAATATTTGCAAACGAATCAATGGACAAAGAATTAATTTCCAAATAATATAAACAGCTCATGGAGCTCAATATTAAAAAAACAACCCAATCCAAAAATGTGCAGAAGACCTAAATAGACATCTCTCCAAAGGAGATGTACAGATTGCCAACAAACACATGAAAGAATGCTCAACATTATTAATCATTAGAGAAATGCAAATCAAAACTACAATGAGATATCATCTCACACCAGTCAGAATGGCCATCATCAAAAAATCTACAAACAATAAATGCTGGAGAGGGTGTGGAGAAAAGGGCACCCTCTTGCACTGTTGGTGGGAATGTAAATTGCTACAGCCACTATGGAGAACCGTATGGAGGTTCCTTAAGAAACTAAAAATAGAACTACCATACAACCCAGCAATCCCACTACTGGGCATATACCCTGAGAAAACCATAATTCAAAAAGAGTCATGTACCACAGTGTTCATTGCAGCTCTATTTACAATAGCCAGGACATGGAGGCAACCTAAGTGTCCATCAACAGATGAATTGATAAAGAAAATGTGGCACATATATACAGTGGAATATTATTCAGCCATAAGAAGAAACAAAATTGAGTTAGTTGTAGTGAGGTGGATGGACCTAGAGTCTGTCATACAGAGTGAGGTAAGTCAGAAAGAGAAAAGCAAATACCGTATGCTAACACATATATATGGAATCTAAAAAAAAGAAAAAAATTGTCATGAAGAATCCGGGGACAAGGCAGGAATAAAGACACAGACCTACTAGAGCATGGACTTGAGGATCTGCGGAGGGGGTCGGGTAAGCTGGGACAAAGAGAGTGGCATGGACATATATACACTACCAAATGTAAAATAGATTGCTAGTGGGAAGCAGCTGCATAGCACAGGGAGATCAGCTCGGTGCTTTGTGACCACCTAGAGGGGTGGGATAGGGAGGGTGGGAGGGAGGGAGACAAGAGGGAAGAGATATGGGGACATATGTATAGGTATAACTGATTCACTTTGTTATAAAGCAGAAACTGACACACCATTTTAAAGCAATTATACTCCAATAAAGTTGTTAAAAAAAAGATAAATTTCAAAAATGCAAGATAAAACTGCCACATAGATTTTTTTTATGTTATTATTTTTTTATCTTTTAGGATTTTGAACTATGGGATGATGTAGGATTAAACATTCCAAAACCTCCAGACTTATTGCAACTCTACCGAGATTTTGGAAATCATCAAGTGACTGGGAAAGATCTTGTGGATGTGGCCAGTGGTGTAGAAGAAGATGAATTAGAGGCTCTGACACCAATTTTAGGCAACCTTCCTCCAACCCTTGAAACTCCTGCTGCTGTAGAGGTGAGAGGTATTAACTAAGTAATCCAGTCCACAAAAAGTGTTTAAACTGCATAAAAGCATACTATGAAATCTTGAGTTTCTGTTTTTCTCCCATTTTGATTTTAGAACTCCTTGCTAGTAAAGAAATTAGAAGATAAAATTAGTTTATTAAATAGTGAGAAATGGTCTTTGATGGAACAAATCAGAAGACTTGAAAGGTTAGTACTTAATCATTATTTCCAAAAAACCTCTTAAAGTTTTTAAAGAAATTGACAGATTATATAAATATATAAAATAACATTTCAGTTTTAAGACATAATTTACATATCCTAATACTTCTGGAAAAAAGTCTTATAGTTGCTTATATACTTAAAGTGTCCTTTTTCCCCAAAAAAGTTGTCCCGGTAATAATCATGTAATTGCATATGTCTTGGAACCAAGAAATAAGATATTTTTTATTTTCTCCAAGTTGTATCAGTAGTAATAAAATAGCTTTTCACATTAGTGTTGTACATATTTCCCATTCATTATTTCATTTAATTCTTAATTCTGTAGAATTTTCCCCATTTTGCAAATGAAGAATGTTAAGTGCTAATCCAAAGCATAGTTTATAAAACCATTTTTATGCTTTATAAGTGTTTGTAGCTGCACTTCTAGGTATATGAAGCATCAGTGTATATGGTGCAGAAGAGATTAATCAGTTGCCAAACCACTTTCTATTAATATGTTACACTTTTAAATCATTAAACCCATTATGAAGTTTATGCTATTGCCAAAGTTTTAAAAAATACAGTTATTCTCTGATAATTTCTCTTCCTTTCTACAGTGAAATGGACTTCCTCAAAAATGAACACTTTGCCAGCCCTGTAGTTTGTGACTCTGTTCAGCCTTCTTTGGATCAGTCTCCCCACAAGGACTCTGAAGACAGTGGACAGAATTCAGTTATAAATAGTTCAGACATGGGAGAAAACAAGGATATCCATCTTTCAAAATCAGATGAAATTGATTCCACTATTCCTAAAGAGAATTTCCCACGTTCTTTCCCCAGGAGAGAAAGAGAAGGAATGCCATCTTCTTCTCCATCAAATAAAAGCACAGTCCATTTTGATAAACCCAATAGGTTAGTATGCATCCTGTGTTTTGAAATGCATCTTTCAGCTATTTAGAACATTGTCAAAATAGAAAAGTTTCAGTTCTTATTTTGCAAATCAGATGTATGAATTTTTATGTTTGGCATGAACTTAACACATAGCAAAGTCCATGTCACCAAAAAAAAAAAAAAAAAACACACAAGTAACTACTAAGTTAAATTGTATTAACAAGGAATAGACCATAAAGGAGATAGGTCCTATCTTAGCCAAGTACTTAAACCCATAAGTAATATGTATGTTTTATGTGCTGTATTTTACCCAGTGCTTTTTACCTTTTCTGTATTCTACAGTCATTATCAGACTCAGGAGAAGGTTTTGGTACTGAATAGTTGCCTGTACTAAAGAGGGGATTAGCTATTAATCTTAGGCCTTTTTCCTGTGTCTGCTTCCATTACTAATATTGTATTGTTAATATTCTCTTAATTCATTTAGTTTTTATTGGATTGCAGTGATTGAACTCAGATGACAAAAGCATGGTCCCTTGCCCGTCATGATTATGTTTTCTAGTAGAGGAGACAAAATGTGTTTAAAATTATTTTACGTTTTAATGTGGAAAATGTTAAGAAAGGAACATTTACTGAGTTCTTTTTTATATGTCAGGCACAGTTCTACACGCTTTACGTATACTAACTTAGTTAATCCTCACAAATTACCCTATGGTGCATTCTGAGCCACAAAGCCATGCTTCCTCCTCCTCCTATTAAATGGAGTATTAAATGGAATATTATACCAAGTGTTGGGATGTAATAGGAAAGCATGACTAATTTGTTTTAGACTTAAAGGTACTCATTATTAGTGAGAAGTATTTGATTTTTTTTTTTCCCAAGCAAATCTTTCCACTCATGTGCCACAACTTTCTGTGTACCTGCTTAAGTGTGTGTGTGTGTGTGTGTGTGTGTGTGTGTGTGTGTGTATTTTTAGGTATTATGGGGGTTGAAATAGACACAGCCCAATCCTCAAAGTGCATTTAATTAAATATGGTTAAGATACAGTTATAAAAATGATATTCAATAACAGTGGCATTCGTAATAGTTCTTACTGTTTAGGAGTACTTCCATATATCTCCTTTGATACACCAAAGCCACTCTCTGGAGAAAGATGACTGTTAAATTTCTTCAACTAATTTTTTTTAGCTCTTAACTATATGTCAGGCAGTCTTAACGAGGAGTATAATGGTAACCAAACATATGGTCATCCCTTCAGTTACAAACCTTACAGTATGAGAGAGGCCGACAGATAATTATTATAAGTACGAAGAGTAGTAATATAAGAGAAGTTCACCTTGCTTTGGGAACACACAATCAGGGCACCTAACCTAGGCATCAGAGCAGGAAAGATTTCAGGGAAGAAGTATTATCTAACTTTAGACCTGATGACTAAGTAGTAGTTAACCAGACAAAGAAATAAGACGAAGTCTTCCCACTAAGAGAGAACAGCATGTGCAGGGAGAACACTGTGCACTTTGCGAGCTAAGAAGAATTTATTAAGGTTGAAGCAAAGAATGCACGTGAGAAGAATGACAGATGAAGTTGGAGAATTAAGCAAAGACTAAGTCATATAAGTCGTGTTAACTCATTTTAGAGAGTTGGGACGTGATGGCATCTAAGTTTTAGAAAGAGTCCTCTAGGGTAGAGGTAATTGGAGGGTAGCAAGACTGGAAGAAAGGAGACTAGTAGGATATCTATTGGAAGAATCCAAGTAAGAAATGATTGAATTTCCTGTATTAGAAAGAAGTGGATAGATTTACAAGATAGTTAGAAAGTAAAAGATTGATTGGATTAGGAGATTAAAAGAAAGGGAAGGATAAAGGCTTTCTGGCATAGGCAATTGGATGCATTATAGCTCTCTCCACTGAAAGAATATGGGAGGGGAAACATAACAAGCAAATAGGCTTAAGCTTTGGCACAGTAACTCCAGAATGAGATGTTACTGGGGGCCACTTTGTGGTGTATACTAAATAACCTCTATTATGTAATTTTGGTGTTAGCCCTTTTCTTTGTAGATAGAGTACATAAAGTACAACTCATAGGTACAATATTATGAATACTATTATGTAGAGACCAGTGTTGTTTTAAAAATATAAATGTTTTAACCTTTTTTATTAAACATAAATAGGCTAATATTTTCAATTACAAAAATACTTCCTTTGAGATATATCATGAATGTTGAACAAGACTCTCCTTCATTTATCTTTAATTTTTAATTCTTTTACGTGGGTTTCTAACATTAAGGATTATCATTATCATTATATAGATCTGTAAAACTTCTCAGCAACATACCAGGTCAACCTTTGTCTCCACTGTTTACCTTTCTGGGATCATAGAGAATTAGGGAAGAAAAAAAAATCCTCATTTCAGGTTTTACAAACACTTTCTGTGGTCATTGACCTGCCATACCACTTCAGGTTTAATCCACTAACATTTATAAGTCATTCATTCCCATAACATCAAGCTCTTTTAAGATCAGCATCTATTGCTGATTTCTTTTCCCCAGTATAATTTTCCACTGAAGTGACCTTTAAGTCTTTTGTGGCTGAGATATTCAGTTAACATTTGTGGGTTAGGGTTCATGCAAGGATGGGAATTATAACCTGCAACTTACTTTCTCCTTAAATGCCAGTGGTAACTATTTGGTATTGTCCCATTTTCATTCAATATTTTCTTCTAGGAAGTTGTCTCCTGCTTTCCATCAAGCACTACTCTCTTTCTGTCGAATGTCAGCAGATAGTCGTTTAGGATCAGAGGTAAATTATACCAGATTCTTTCAAACTTTCTTAAAACATTCAGTTTTTCTTTTTAGCATCTTACCCAAAAATAATTGTGATAAGACTCTATTTCAAGTACAAGTCTAGTATTTAAAATAATGCTCTAAGAAATAGTTCCTAAAATTTTAACTTTTAAGGAAAGTAGTTGATTATTTTTGTCTTTAGGTTAAAGCTTTGTTTAGTATTAAAGTGGCCTTTTACAGTCTAGTTTTAATTTGTTATGTCTACCGACATATGGTTATATGCCTCTCTATGGTATAATTCAGAAAACCAAATCAAGTGTACATATTGTTTATAATTTCAGTTATTTTTAGATTACTCTACTTTTAATTTCATTTGGATTGTCTTTTTTTCCCCCCCACCTTCATGCTTTATGCTTTATAGTCTAATAAGTTTGAACAAATATTTGTGATTCCAGAAATAACTGATAAGGTCCTGCTTCAGGGTCAGGGTGAGGGTATTATTTCAGCAGTTAACATGAAATTACATTAAAAAATACCTAACACACACTAAGCATTATGTTACATGTCATCTCATTTAATCTGCATTTTAATTTGCAAACTTACAAAGTAGGTAATATTAGTCTAATTTTCCAGATAAGGAAATTTTAGACAAGTCCCATAACTTTCCCAGTGTTAGACAGCTACCCAGGTCTATATGATTGTAAAGCCTAATTGCTAAGTATTTGCATTGGTATCATTGTATCAGGAGCTGAACAACCTACCTCTGCAAAGTGAATCTAAACTTAGGTTATTTAGTTGAATAAATCAAAAGTATTATTTCCTTTTGATGCTGACCAAAAGCTGTAAACTCAAATGTCTACAAAGAAACCAGGCAGGTCTCATAATATGATGAAGCAAGAGTGTAATAATAAGGAGTGGTGGGTACTGTAGTAAATTCGAACTTACATCCTTTGCCTAAATCTTGCAGGTGATTGCTTCTGTGTGTGTGTGAGGGCCCAAGGATAGTGCCATTGCTAGACTATATATCACCTTTGTGCAAATTAAAGTGATACTCCTTACTTTTGGTGGATAAATACCTGGCGTGGCAGATGAGTGCCTGTTGGATGTCAGCCCCACTTACCATTTAGGCTGATTCTCTGTGCAAGGCATAGCTGATAACAGTCTTTTTCAAGAGAAGCTGGGCATCTGGATTTTTTTTTTTTTTTTTTTTGGTTGTCTGTAATTTTCTTTTTTTTTTTTTAACATCTTTATCGGAGTATAATTGCTTTACAATGGTGTGTTAGTTTCTGCTTTATAACAAAGTGAATCAGCTATACATATATATCCCCATATCTCCTCCCTCTTGCGTCTCCCTCCCACCCTCCCTATCCCACCCCGCTAGGTGGTCGCAAAGCATGGAGCTGATCTCCCTGTGCTATGCAGCTGCTTCCCACTAGCTATCTATTTTACATTTGATAGTGTATATATGTCCGTGCCACTCTCCCACTTCGTCCCAGCTTACCCTTCCCCCTCCCTGTGTCCTCAAGTCCATTCTCTACATCTGTGTCTTTATTTCTGTCCTACCCCTAGGTTCGGATTGATTGTCTTTGATTTCAGAGTTTATTAGCTCTCAGATTTGTTTTCCTCAAGTCCTTTGTAATTGTTGTTGCAGGCTTATCTTCAGAGGGTTTTTTTCTTTTTTTCTCCTATCTTTATACTCACTCCTCCCTTTCTAGCTGTTTTATGGTTGATTCCACTTCACCTCTTTTGGGCTTCTGTCCCACAATGTCATTAAGAATATGAAAGAGCTAGAGGATGGTTTGGATGCAATCTGGCAATCCCCATTGTAAGACTGGGTCAGCCCCCTTGGACTTCCCTTGCATGCAGCTTCATTATACAAACTACTCTCACCTTAGGCAAAGCCTGTAGCTTTGTGGGCACCTTTTCCCCAAAAACAAAATTAAAAACCATTGAAGCTGCCCCAGTCCTGTGTTATCCCTGTTTGTTCCCAGAACTGAAGCCTTGTAAGCCTCCCTGTCTTCACCCTTGCTTCTTAACAGTGTTTTAAATCCATTTCTGGTCTATAAAAATGTTTATCCCGTTAGGGATTACAGTTGTTCTTATTGTTGTTTTTATCATCATCATCATAAATTGTAATTTTGGATGTGTGTTTGGAACAGAGGTGACAGGGTCCAAAACATAAACTTTAAGTACAATACCATCATGCACAGAAGTTCTCCAGTGTCGTCATTTATTAATTCTTTGGTTTTCTAGGTGTCTCGGATTGCAGACAGCGAGAAAAGTGTTATGTTAATGCTGGGGCGCTGCCTGCCACACATTGTTCCTAATGTGCTGTTGGCAAAGAGAGAGGTGAGACACATAAAAGTATTTTCATTCCCCAGATCTCATCATGTGTCCATTTTTTGTCATTTTGAAGTTTAGTGTTATATTTTTATTTTGTTAAAGTCTATTACTTGCAATCATATTCTTACTTTTGTGCATGCATCTCTGCTCCTAGAGAATGGTTTTACACCTCTGTCAGGTGAGTTCAGTAAAACTGCATGGTATTCATGTTTTCCAATTTTGCTTAAAGCATCATTAGCTTTTGCAGCACTAACTATTACTGTAGGTCCATTTATGTGCCATGAACACTGTCTGTTTTTTACATTACCAGTTAACTAATTTATTTTATCTCTGCTCTTGATATGATATGCGTGATTTGTCTTCAGAAATAGACATGCTTTGTATTGAACATTCACAGGGACTAATAATGTAACTTTTCTTAAACATAGTTACTTATTATTAATGTTAGTTTTATTGTATTTGTTTGGCAGTAATTACACTTGTCTTAGGATGATAGGATAGTTATAATATTGTCTACAATAACTTCTGAAAGTACCTTTTTTGTTTTTCTTGTAGCTCACCTGTTATTGACAGATGCTTTAAATGTCCAATATAGAGTAGCAAATTTATTTTAGTACACATTGCCTATGTTATAAGCCATAAATACTGTAGAAAGTTATTTTTAGAGTTATATTTAGCCAATAAAAGATTAATAAAAAGTTATCTGTAATCTCATTTAAATGACAGTGAATGATTTATTTGCAAACAAGCTTAATTATTTGAATTATTCAATTTATGAAATCAATTTTCAGTTCAGAAATTTTCTTTTAATGGGTTAAGAATATTTTAGAATGTGTCATAAAAGTTTCTTTTGTTATCCTCTTAATATTTACCACCGGTTTTAATCATAATTCACGGGACCTACAGTATGATAGGTACACAATGCATTGGCAAAACCCATGTAGAGCTTATCCTTAATTATCTGTTTAGCACAAGAAATTTGTACTGATCCTCAAGAAAATGTATGTGTAGAGCTTAAAAATTTTTTATACCTATAGGTATTTTTAATTTAAAAAAGATAAACATGACTGTTTTCTTGCTGATGGTTTTATTTTACCTAATATTTAAAAATAGCTCTGAGACATTAATAAGTATGGAAATTTTTCTATGTCTTGAAGGATCAGTGTCCAATTTCAGATTGTTTTGCAGTTCTGCCTGGCAGAATGGTGTTTGAGCTTCTTTTCCTTTTTCAGCTTGTAACATAATCCATTGCAGTGCATTAATGTTTGCATCCCTTTTACTATGTTTCCTTAATATAATCTTTAAAATATCATAGAAACCTAATTGTTATGAGATGTAGTTTAAGCTTTTTTATTTGAATTTTCCCTTTTTTAATCATAAAAAACTACCACTAAAATCTGATTGTACTGCATGAAGTATTTATAAATTTGCATCATCAGTAATCAGTTATATATATATAAATATATATGTAAACATATTTATATATACACATATATTTTATTTGTGGTATGATGTTTACTTTTTGGCTGATTTTAAGGTTTTTATATTTAAAAATATTTATATACTTATAATTTCATGAAGAATTGATCATTTATCTTTGTTTACTTAATTATTTGTACTTTATTCTGTTTTACCAGAAGATTTACCATTTATTATATACCAAAGTTGTATTCCCTCAAAACTAAATTGGTAAATAATGAAGTATACCTTGCCTTTCTTTGAAACTAATCCCAGGGCATAAAAGGTCAAAACTTTTATTTCATTTTATCCTTTGATATTGGATTACATGTATTTAATATTTTACCCTAGTTCCTTATATCTATATTTTTAAAAAGGTCTCATGAGTGAAGGATTAATATTTTTATTTTTTCTTATTTCTCGTTTTATGTGTTCTCTTATCAGTATAAACCTTTTTATTGATATGTAAATACAATTTAAATGTCCCTTAGTAAACTGATTGATCATAGCAATATCCTAGGTAATTAAAAAAATAAAACATTAAAAACAGGTTTTAAGGTTTGAATAAATAATACATTCACATGGTTTAACATCTTTTAAATATAAAAAGATGTACAACAAAAACTTGTCTTCCCTTGTCCCTGAGCCACCATCCTACATGCAATAAATTTTATTAGCTTCTAGTGTATTCTTTCAAGTTCTTTGCCCATTTTTTAAGTGGATTGTTTGCCTTTAAATTGTAAGAGTTCTTACAATTCTGGATATTAAACCCTTACCTCATACATGATTTGCAAATATTTTCTCCCATCCTATAGGTTTTCTTTTCACATTGTTGATAATGTCCTTAGATGAACAAATATTTTTCATTTTTATGAAATTGATCTATTTTTTTCTTTCGTTGCTTGAGTTTTTGGTATCAGTCTAAGAATCCATTACCAAATCTGAAGTCAGAAAGATTTATTCCTGTGTTTTCTTCTAATAGTGTTATACCTTTAGCTCTTATATTTAGGTCATTGATCCATTTGGAGTTTTTTTTTTTTTTTAATATATGGAGTGAGGCAGGAGTCCAAAACTTTATTCTTTTCATTTAGTTATCCAGATATCCCAGCACCATTTGTTGAACAGAAAGTTGTTTCCCTAATGAATGGTCATGGCACCTTTGCCATATCAGTTCAATGTCGATGTTTGCATTCATTTCTATACTTTCAGTTCTGTACCATTGGTCTTTGTGTTTATCTTTATGCCCGTTCCACTCTATTTTGATTACTGTAGCTTTATAGTAAGTTTTGAAATTGGGAAGAATGAGTCCTCCAGCTTTGTTTTCTTTTTCAATATCGTTCAGCCACGTAGGGCCCCTTTCAGTTCAATATGAATTTGATGCTCAGTTTTGATTTCTGCCATAAAGGTCATTTGAATTTTGAAAGGGATTGCACTGAATCTGTAGATCACTTTGCGGAATATTGACATTCAAACAACATTAAGTCTTGCCATTTATGAACTTGAGATTCTTTACAGTTATTTATGTCTTTCAGCAATGTTTTGTAGTTTTTCACTTCCATGTTAAAATTTATTTCTCAGTATTTTATTCTCATGGATGCTGTTGTAAATGAAATTGTTTCCTTAATTTCTTTTCAGGTTGTTCATTGCTGATATATAGAAACAGAACTGACATTTGTATGTTGATCTTGTAACTTGAAACTTTGCTGAATTTGTTTATTAGCTCTAGTAGTTTTTTGTGGATTCTATGAGATTTATATAGAATCATGTTATCTGCAAACAGAGGTATTTTGCTTCTTTCGTTCCAATTTGGATAGCTTTTATTTCTTCCTCTTACTTAATTACTTTGGTTAGGACTGCCAATACAGTTTTTTTTTTTAACATCTTTATTGGAGTATAATTGCTTTACAATGGTGTGTCAGTTTCTGCTTTATAACAAAGTGAACCAGTTATACCTATACATATGTCCCCATATCTCTTCCCTCTTGCTTCTCCCTCCCTCCCTCCCACCCTCCCTATCACACCCCTCTAGGTGATCACAAAGCACAGAGCTGATCTCCCTGTGCTATGTGGCTGCTTCCCACTAGCTATCTATTTTACGTTTGGTAGTGTATATATGTCCATGCCACTCTCTCACTTTGTCACAGCTTACCCTTCCCCCTCCCCATATCCTCAAGTCCATTCTCTAGTAGGTCTGTGTCTTTATTCCCACTTTGCCCCTAGGTTCTTCGTGACCTTTTTTTTTTTTCCGTAGATTCCATATATATGTGTTAGCATACGGTATTTGCTTTTCTCTTTCTGACTTACTTCACTCTGTATGACAGACTCTAGGTCCATCCACCTCACTACAAATAACTCAATTTTGTTTCTTTTTATGGCTGAGTAATATTCCATTGTATATATGTGTATATATATATTGTATATATGTGTATATATTGTATATATGTGTATATATATATTGTATATATGTGTATATATTCCATTGTATATATGTGTATATATCCATTCATCCAATGATGGACACTTAGGTTGTTTCCATCACCGGGCTATTGTAAATAGAGCTGCAATGAACATTGTGCTACATGACTCTTTATGAATTATGGTATTCTCAGGGTATATGCCCAGTAGTGGGATTGCTGGGTCGTATGGTAGTTCTATTTTTAGTTTTTTAAGGAACCTCCATACTGTTCTCCATAGTGGTTGTATCAATTTACATTCCCACCAACAGTACAAGAGGGTTCCCTTTTCTCCACACCCTCTCCAGCATTTATTGTTTGTAGATTTTTTGATGATGGCCATTCTGACTGGTGTGAGATGATATCTCATTGTAGTTTTGATTTGCATTTGTCTAATGATTAATGATGTTGAGCATTCTTTCATGTGTTTGTTGGCAATTTGTATATCTTCTTTGGAGAAATGTCTATTTAGGTCTTCTGCCCATTTTTGGATTGTTTTGGAGTGATTGGGTTGTTCGTTTTTTTGATATTGAGCTGCATGAGCTGCTTATAAATTTTGGAGATTAATCCTTTGTCAGTTCCTTCATTTGCAGATATTTTCTCCCATTCTGAGGGTTATCTTTTCATCTTGTTTATGGTTTCCTTTGCTGTGCAAAAGCTTTGAAGTTTCATTAGGTCCCATTTGTTTATTTTTGTTTTTATTTCCATTTCTCTAGGAGGTGAGTCAAAAAAGATCTTTCTGTGATTGATGTCATTGAGTGTTCTGCCTATGTTTTCCTCTAAGAGTTTGACAGTGTCTGGCATTACATTTAGGTCTTTAATCCATTTTGAGTTTATTTATGTGTATGGTGTTAGGGAGTGTTCTAATTTCATACTTTTACATGTACCTGTCCAGTTTTCCCAGCACCACTTATTGAAGAGGCTGTCTTTTCTCCACTGTATATTCTTGCCTCCTTTATCAAAGATAAGGTGACCATAGGTACATGGGTTTATATCTGGGCTTTCTATCCTGTTCCATTGATCTATATTTCTGTTTTTGTGCCAGTACCATACTTTCTTGATTACTGTAGCTTTGTAGTATAGTCTGAAGTCAGG